CCCCCTGCCCCCCCGCACCCCGGGCCCCCCCCGCCACAGGAGCCGGGGACGATGCTGCCTGGAGCTGTGGCAAAACCACCTGGTGGTTTCCAGTGTTGGAGGACGGAAGGAGAAAGCAGAAGGCACCTAAAAAGCTGGTACAGCAAAGAGTAGAGACTCTGCCCCATCACGGAGCCAAGAGAAAGGCACTACTGTCCTCGGGTATGGCTGCGTATGGCAGGACATCCAGACCCCGACATCAGGAGGACAGCAAGGAACCCACCATACTTATGGAAACACACGCACCATCTCCGTGGGCACTGGGGAGGAGGCTTGGTCCAGCCGGGCAGCACAGGGAAAGCAACACCCATGCCGCAGCTCAGAGGGAGTCCGTTCGCTTACGGGCAAACACAGCCGACACGGTCTTGACGATGCCACGGATCCCCGTGCCCTTTTTCAGCGCCAGTTTGGTGTCAGGGATGCGCTTGGCCAGTCCATGGAAGACCGTGAGGGCCCCGTGATAAGCCTCGGCTGCAGAGACCTCGTAGAAACCGCAGTCCGACGAGAGGGCCAGGAGCCGCCCCTCCTCGCTGGAGACTGCCCGCCGGTGGTGCAGGTCCCGTTTGTTGCCCACGATGACGATGGGCACCTTCTCCTGGCTCTGCCCCTCCTTGGCCGCCTTGATGAACTGGATCTTGAGGGGCAGGACATTGAAGCTGGCGCGGTCGCAGATGCTGTAGACCAGGACAAAGCCGTCTGCCCACTGGATTCGCTTCTCCTCCGAGGAGCCCTCCTCTGCCTGCTCCTGGGGAAAGAGAAAAGGGTTTTTTTTATCCGGCTGCCTCCCTCCACGCCTGCCTGCTAGCACAGGGTGCAGCAATCCTGAGCCCGTCAGGGCCGGGGCGGCTCACACGTAGCCAAAGGGCAGAGAGGAAGAGGAGTACTGAGGAAGGCAGAGCAGCACCTGGCAGACCAAGGGGACACGATTTGGGCTGTCCGCACCTTACCACCCAGCTGCCAAGCACCGCAGGCTGGAGGTGACAACAGCGTGGGGACCTCAGAGCGGCACCTTCACTTCATTAGCACGGTCCCATGCTCAGTCTGGGCTGGTGGGATCAGAGCTTCAGCCCTGATGTCCCCGGCCAGGGGACCAGGGGCTACGGTGACTACCGCTACCCCGCCAGCAGCGCTGCCGCCCCGCGCTCTGCAGGCAGGAAGGGTCCAGTTGCCTACAGACCACCCGACGCAAGAGCTTTGCTCAGCTGGAGCTCACAGCCTGTGGTTCCCCACAGGTAACTTTTAGCAGAGATTTTTTCATCCCTGGGGTGAAAACAGGTGACAGGTGACAGGATTCTGACCTGCGAACTGGGGACGTCCCAGATGTGGAAGAGAATCTCTCGGCCATCCACAGTCAGGCTGTGGCTGTAGATGAATTTTCCCAAAAAAAAACCAAACCCAAACCAA